AACACTGCAGACAAGCTGTTTTTCACTCACTTAGTGTATATGTTCAGCTGCTTGATTGGCGGCACTGATTTCCCTCTTGTGCTAATTCATCCTTATGATGTCAGTATCCCCAGTAGTCGTCAAAGGCGAGACAACGACCTTGGACTATGGCGTGTGCAGGCCAAACCTCGCTTATCCTCTGAAATCATTTCCGTCTGGTCAATCATTCGTGGAGTTGCTCTCGCAAGCGATCCTGAAATGCCTGGCGATTACTTCGTCATCCACACTGTGGACAATGACATATTTCTTCAAATCAAGGCCCTCCAAGCTCAACCATTGTGAGGCAGGCCATCCTCAGTATCATTGGTATGTCCTGGTCCCCTCATCCTTCATCTGCAACAAGCTTTTATTGATGTCGGCCCTCTACAGATGTTCAATAACCTGTATGATACTTCTCCCATATCTCCAACAATGCATCCACCAAATCTGTACTCCCTTCATTCATCCCAGCACTCAGCTCCCCTCTCCCATATCTCCAACGACACATCCACCAAATTCATACTCCCTTCATTCGTCCTGGCACTCAGCTCCCCTCTCATGCAGCTGTCATGCACAACATTCTCGACATGATGCCCGAGTCCTTCAAGCAAAACAAGTCGAAAACAATTCTCCAGCATCTCTCAGAGGTGTGGTGTTGTTGGAAAGCAAACTGCGATTGAGAACATTATCCTATGGTACATCAAGAGCAAGGCTGATTGGTGGTGCTCGGTTGCATACTATAATCGGGAGCGTATCTGTTGGGGTGCTATGGTTGATAATTGTTTAGAAACCGCTTGTCAACATCCACCGTTTTACAGACGTAAGTGACCTGAATCTACCCTTCACATTGTAATACTTGATCCGTCTGCGTGTTAATATGTAGACTTGCAACATGTATTATCACACATCGAGCTGTGCAATGCTGCCATGATTATGTACATCTTTGCCGCATTTAAATTGCCATTCAAACTCACTTACTTGTTGGGTAACAGCCTCATGGCCTCAACGACTTTCAATGAGCTAATAAGCACTGATATCAAACCATGTGTATGATGATATTGAGGTCACTCTGAGTTGTTTTCGCTTCGGTTAGTACTAATGAAGATGAAAAGAGCCACTGCCTTATGACACTCAATTCAGATTCAGACTTCGCAGCTGCATAAAATGGCATCGATTGTGAGATGACTTTGACCCAACGCCCACTCTCAGGACTTGATCTAGCTGATCAAACACTTTCTTCCCATTCTGCCGTCAATGTCTGACTCTGATTCAAATTCAACATCCTTCAGGCTTGATTCAGGCTCAGACTCGGCAGATGAAGGCACCCAATGTCATCCTGTGGCTCCACCGAGCAGTGGTGCTTCTATTGTGCACTACCAAGAGGTACGCCCTTCCTTTTGTTCATACCATATATTCCAACATACTCATTGATCTACTAGTATATTAAATATCTTCAGCTTCAACATGGGCAGCTCCAGCAGCGGAACATGTCTCTGAACGAGAGCAACAATGTTCTTGCTGCGCAACAACTAAAACATTCATGCAAGCGCCCTCAAGCATCATCATCTAATAGGGTACCATCAGTGTCGCAATAGGCATCTGCAACATCTGTGACACCATCTGCATCTGAATCCACTGCAATCTCTGGTACGACTCCTGACTCATCGAAGACCAGTGGTGTCGACAAGGTTATTTTGGGCTTGGCTAAGAAGTATGCGTTAATTATGGAGATGTTTCTCCCAGACAAAGTCATTTTCCAAACAGACTGTCCTGACCCTCCAGTTGACTTCTCAAGTCCGGCTCATTATGCAAAGAAGTCTACAGAAAAGGCCGCACTCATCACTGAACTTTACACATCCATCGACTACACGTTGCATGCTCGGATGCGAACAAATCATTTCTTCAACCAGGTGTGTAGCCTTTTCTTCCTCAAGCCATTGATATGAACATAACTAAAACTTCGATTAGTTTGGAAGTGGAATGCAACAAGCTCGCTGTTCATTTCTCAACAGCCTGTGTTCTGTCGCAGGTGGCATCTTCAACATGCCCAACAAGTTTTTTGTCTCCAAATACGACCGTAATTCCCTCCCACAGGTCATGGACTTGATTGGATGGGAAGCAGGCAAGGGCCAAGCATATGATATCTTCAAGGCACCAATACTTTACCCTGACCATGTTGTGAATGAGAAGAAGATCTTCCAAAACTGGATAGTCATCGTGAAGGTGAGGTTTACTTGTTGACAACAGACTGGATGCTCATTTTGTTTTGAAGGTTATCAAGGTTGCAATATGTGGGAAGATGTCATTGTATCCCAAAGCGCGCGGTGGACCACCTTCCTATGCCAAGATATGGCAACTCACAAGCTGCACTCCTGGCCTGATTGCTTTTGGTGTCACATCAGTAGGTTTTCAGTCCTCTAGATGTACACTGATTCAGAGCTGATACCCATCATGTTGTTCTGTAGATCATATTCATCCTATCACCAGACCAGGAATTTTCAGGCGATGGTGTTGGCACTATTTCCTCGATCTCATATCATTCAATCTTTAAGACTGTCAAGAAGATTTTCATCCTTAAGTGTGCGCATCAGCGCATCAAATCTGTCGTCAAGAAAATCAATGGATATGTATTTGATGGTACAGTAAAGACACAACCATCTGACGACACTTCATGCACTGTAGAGCACATCACCAAGTCACTCAATCACATCATGGCTGCGCTGGATGCCAGTTATTCAGATGATTCAGACTTGAACCAGAGTGACAAAGAATTGGAATATGTTAACTTGCCAGCAACCAAAGACACACATCATTCCACTGCAGCCACTACTGCCAGTGGTGCAGGGCTTGGTATTCCCGAATCTCAAGCAAAAGTGTCCAGGGGCAGGAAGAAAAAGTCATTGACGGTCAATGATTCCACAACTATTTGTCGCTCCTCACGTCACACTGCAACTACTTAGCCTTCATAGTTATTATCCGTGCTCAAATGTCATCATTTGCCTAGTGTCAGGACACACTTGTTTGATCGGTCTGTGCTTATATAATACAGTACTCTTTAAACTTGTTCTTCCATCACGGCTCCTTGTTCTCATAACATTCCATGAACCATTTCTCTAGGTCGCCACCTTGAAGGTCTGGTTGATGACATTCTGTGGACCATTCCTCCAGGTGATGCAGCTGATAACATTCTATGAACCATTTCGTTGCTGCTTCGAAGGTCTGGTCGATATCATTCCATGGACATACTACTCTTCACACTCGTTCTTCTATCTCGCTCCTTATTATTATGCTCATTTCATTGTCAGAAATGGCGATGGTAATCACCGCCAACTAATTTCAACCTGGGCTTTGTTTTAAACATTGTTCTAGTAATCACTGGCACCCTTTCTTCTGGGATGCTACCTCCAGGTGAGACCACATAGACTCTTCGGTTCATGGAAGGTTTCACTAATTCAGACAACATTCCATGAACTATTTCTCTAGGTTGCCGATCCCAACCTCTCTTTTCATCTCTGAACTACTACACAGATGAGATGGATCCAACATCCAGTAGCAAGAAGTCAAGATCCTATGCACAGCACCTGTGTGTTTTTCTCTTTTGTAGTTCTTTATCGCTGACTCCTTGTCACACAGGGAAATTATTGCACTAGACAGAAGAAAGCTGCTAGCTCATCTTGACCCACCAGTACTCACACTACGCAACAACCCAGAGCACCCTATCATCATGTAGAGCACCACTTCCCACTGCTGCTTCGACACCTTCCGCTGCTTCAATACCTTCTGCTGCCGTTGGTCTGCCACGTCAGCAACAGACAAAGGCAAGAAGGATGGGACCAGGGACATTATTTCTTTTTTCATTATGTGTACCACAATGTATATTAGTATTCGTATCAACTTGATCTGACAATTGATATGTTCATCATCACCTTTATCAGAATGATCATTATAGCATTAAGACTTGGTTGGTGACCTGGAAATGCACATTTAAACTTTGTTAAAATGTGCATTAATACTCAGTGGGTACCATTAAAATGTGCAATCAGACTTCATAAAAATGCTCATTAATACTCAGTGGATACCATTGAAATGCACATTCAGACTACGTTAAAATGTCTATTAATATGCCCATTATATCATCATTTTGATGAGCATTAAAATGCTGACTGTTGGATTGTGATGTATTATAATGGGCCCGTGTCGTTAGGCCATGGATTATAATGCCGTAAAAAAAGTTCCGACACAGGTGATGTACTAATTAGCCTATATGTCTTGCAAAGATTGTTTTATTTTGTGCTACTTTGCATGATTTATCGTTACTTGGTATAACTTGTCTAATTTTTCCAATTTTTCTGAAATTTAGCATACTTATTCTAGGTTTGCATCGGAGGGTTTTCCTGATGTAGTCTCGGTACAAGCGAAGAACACTGTATACTGTCTTCTCCGAGCATCGAGCAAGCAGAGATATTTCAAGAGCTGTCCTGTGCTGTTCAAACCGCCAGAATACAATATTCTGGCGCATTTCCTGGCTAGTGAACGGTCCTGGCATGATTGAGGTTTTGTTTCGTCAAGCGGCAGGCCCCAGCTAGAGCACCTCAACCTCACTACTATATAACCTAATAAGGATGTCGTAGGGGGGGGCTATGCCATGCTAATTAGCATCGGTTTTCCTATTTTTCACACCCCACCAGTACCACCGCGAATAAAGGCCTAATTCCCTTTCCCAGAACAGAACTCACGTGAGTAGACCATAGCGCCTCCTTCAGGAAACCCCGTGTTATGTCATATTTGCCGCTCGCTGTCTAATGGTTGTTGCTCGCTGTTGTCAACGACGAGCAAAGCTAAGTCCTTCATTTGTTCACCGTTTTTCTTACTTCTTTTTTTATTCTAGGTCTATTTAACAACGCGCATACATTCCAAACGATAGTCAGGGCTGATATGTGCTTGTCGTTGTCCTATGCGGTGAGTCCAACATGCACGTGACTTTGTTGATCTGACTCTGTGACTAAGACTTCCTCGGCAGATGCCATCAAACACGCCCCTTCAGTGCTCACTGTTGCTGCCATGGCTGGCAGCAGCGTGGCTTAGCTTTCTCCTTCTCCCTACGCCATACGATGCCTGCCTCTAAAACCACTCGCTCTGTGCGTTTAGTTGTCGGTTCCACAAGATCTACCGCGAAGCTCAAGTCCAGGGTTCTGTCACAGACCCAGCAGGTTGAGGATCGACGACACAGGCAGGAACGATACAATGCTAATATTGCAGGTATGTTTTACTGTCTATGCTATGTTTCGTATTGACGACACTGGCTATAGGACTAAGTACCGAATCCCAAACACTGCTCGCAGACATGCAACATGAAGCTGTAGACAGCACGACCGCAGGCATCGTTGGTACTATGGACGCTATGGACAGTGCAATATTCAGGTATGTCTTACATGTATCATCAAAGATCCATCAGATCATCACAAGCTCGTACTTACATAGCTTTGCATTCCGCAGGTCAAATACATCTCAGCCAGCACTCAAGCGCTGAGGGTGTTGCGCTTGCTCGTACCTACATAGCTTTGCATTGCGCAGGTCTACATCTCAGCCGGCACTCAAGCGCTGAGGGTGCTGCGCTCCTACTGTCTCGTGTTCTCGATGCAAGATCCATGTATTCCCGATGTATTATTACTACCATGAAATACAGTACCAGCATCCTTAACTTGAAACTGCAGGCTCCGTGGACTGATTAGCATGCTGTTTGGGCCCTCGTTTCTTCCCCTTATCAGAGCGCGTCTTGCGCTGTTTCTTAGCAACGAATACCTCATTCCCTCCCATACCTGTAATACCTGAAATTGCGCCACTCTCTGCTTGCTCGCGGCGTCGCTTCCCTCGAATGGGTGCAGACTCTTCTGTTGTAGGTACAGACTGTGACTCGGTGTGCACTGGCTGTGAGATTGACAAGAGAAATGGATCAATGTTTGCTAGAAAAGGTTGTTGTTAGCATTGTCTGATATCACGACTTAAGAATCCAACACGCACCATTGATACTACTCTCATCTGCCGCTGGTGTATTCCTGTCTTCATTTGTGGCATCTTCTGAACCGCGCCCCATAGCATTATTGAATCTGGTCTCGTCCCAATCTTCCCACTCAGCAGCTGTCAGTTTGCGAAATTTTGTCGCGCCTGTCCTAAATGCGTTGTATACAATCTTGACCTCCACCATCGAGCCTATGTCCCCGGGACTTGCAAATTTTTTCAGTGGCCAGTTGTCGAGAACCACACCATATGGCGCGGTAATATTCTCATCGAAGTTGACATAGTACATCCTGGAGATAGGTACCTGAGCTGCCTCACGAAGCTTTTGCAGGATAAGTGCCGAAGTGTTGCTCTTGAGTTGAAGGAAACTCTGTTTGTAGTTAGAAACGACACCTGTAGAAGCACGAATCACAACATGTGGCTAATAATAATAAAAAATTCATACCGGTGACACCAGATGTACAGTAGCCTTCAAGACGTGTTGCAAAGTTGGAGGGTGTCTCTTTGAGAGCAAGCTGGAAGAAGTCGCCGACTTGATCATCTGAAAGGTATACATAAGGACGATTATAATGGTCAAGGTCACCCCGAACAGTGATGAGGGCAGTATGACACCCGGTCCTTGCAGAGAGTAGCAAGCTGTATACAATATAAGGGCATGTCAAAAATCACCGCTTCTACGTACGGTTTGTGTTACAGAATCCAAAGTAGCGCGAATATCGTGAAAGGCATTGATGGGGACATTGTGACTTGCCAAAGCCTTGTTGTTGCGATGGTCTTCTAAGTCTTCCATGAGGCCTTCAGTTGCGTCAATCTTCTCTTGCTGTGACATAGCATTCCATTTCTCAGCAATATCATGCCCGACCTGGGTAGCCTTCACACGTGATTCATCAGGTGCTCGCGCTGTAAAAAATACATTAGAAAATTTGAGGGATGTACTTTTAAACATCACTGACCTGCATTCATTGCCTTGACCTCGGAACGGAGAAACGCGTTCCAACGGGTTGCTTTTCGGCTCTTTTGCTTGGTGTGCGTTCGCTGTAAAATTGCTTCGAAGTGATATTCAACTGTCCTGTGAGGAAACTGTTCGTGCAATTTGATGGCCTCCTGCATGACCATATCCTGACAGTCTGCAAGGGCATCCTTATATGCGCATTTCTGAGTGTTGCGTTTCTCAGCAAGTGCCTTCTTCTCGGCCTCTGTGCGGAGACGCGCTTTGCGTTTGATACGGTGGCGCCACAGTGTCCTTGAACTAGACTTTGTGACCTTGATATAACGCTGGTGTCGAGCAACATCAGGCATTGTTGACAATCATGACAGCACAAACGAACGTGGGAATGCAAGCAAAAAAAAACTTGTTAGTGTACATTGTAAATGACGTTAAAGGCACAGTAAAAGCATCGGTAACGTTGTCTAGATGGTGACGCCATCGGGTAGATAGACATCACGTCCTGAAATCAACTCGAAAAGATATTCGGCCTCCAACAGAGGCATTCCTCTAGCGCACGGATAGTGAGTAAAATCTTGAGACGAATTTGCTTCCCTAAAAGCATGGATGATGCTCCAGATGGCTGATGCTTGGTAGCCATGTGCAAAGAGGTACTTTTCAGCCGCAATACCAAGGACACCAGCGGGAGGTGAGTCTAAGTCGAAATTGTGGGATTCTCCAATGAAAACAGTCCCTGTTATTCCAGAAAGCGACCTAGTATAGTGGAGGGCAATGGGCGGTGACGGTGATGGACTACCAGCAGACTGGTAGGGGGAGGGGGATGTGACTTGAAGCTGCTCGAATCGAGCCGCAAGCTGCTGAAAACCTTGTGAAATGATCAGAGGGAGTAATATGAATGAAAAAAGAACATACCTGCAGGCTGAGGTACTCTGTGCTGCCTTTGAGAAGCGGATGATTGATGTATCGTCACAAGAGAATTGGTATTGCAACTGAAAGAAGTCGAATCTAGCTGAGAGTCGTCATCACAAATGTCGCCCTTGAATATCATGAAGCGGAGAGCTTCAATCAGTGTTTTGAATTTTTGGAACTTCCGGATTTCAAGGCCGTTGACCTGTGCCATAGCTGTTGGTCTGTAACATTGGAGCGCATGAGTGTGGTGCGGCAGTGCGCACAAGTATGATAGTTAGGACAGTACATACCTATCCAGAAATATTCCAACTTTCCGTCCATAGACAATGCTGTAAAACTCTTCGTGGTTGGGAAAAATGCCTGCGATGTCCTCCTTTAAAGTAGCCAAGGTTTCGAAGATAGTTCTAGGTGAATTCCGCTCGATGAACTTGATGGTACCAATCTGCAGTTTCATGATCCTATCCGCTTGATCCTGTGAGAAGCACTGTATGGCGAGTGGGAAGGGAAGCATGTCGCGACCGGCTGCAATGAATGGCCTTTCAAAGTTCAAACATGATTATGATGAGATTCAGAGAATGATTGTTTAAGAAACTGAAACTCACCATGTTTCCTTGATTCCAGGAGATGCGCCACCAATAACAACTACAATAAGCTTTGAAAAAGACATAGACATAGTTGACAGAGAGAGAGACTTGTAGTGTGGTAGTGCAGTTGGAGATCGGAATGCAGTGTGCACACAACATCACATTACTAAATCCGAAGTGACACTGAATTATTATTCATTTGGCAGATAAGTCGAAAACAACACAACTTGAGTCCATGAGCTCGAGGAAACACACTTGGTGGATGTATGTATGGTGCAAAAATGTACAAAGATTGCTACGGTAATTCTGATATGTAATTGAGTAGACCGCCGACTTCACCAGCAATAGTATCATCCTCCTCGAGTCCTCCGCAATCATCATTCTCATCAGCTTCAACACTCTGGTGCTCCGAAATCACCAATGACTGCAAGTCCGCAATGGTTTCAACATTGTCTGGAGAGTTCTTCATGACACCTGGTGTCGTCAAGCCAGCAAAGCCAGGAAGTGAATATAAGTCCTGTAAACGAGCAAGTATGTGAGCATTGATGCGCCGCCGGCGTCGACAGAATTCCTCGAGTGCCCCGCATACAGGATCACTGGTACTTTTGGCCTCCAAAATGACCCGGGTGAAGTGTGCTTCTTCATCAACAATAGCAGTGTGCAGTCGACGACTTTCCACATAACAACGCTGAATTTCTTCATGGGCACGCTCGATGCGAAGGCTCTGCTTCATGACCTCGCGCACTGCTGGTTCAGCCCAGCGTCTGCTGCGAATGTCTTGGCGTGTCTCGCGCAAGAGAGCAAACTCTTCGAGAAAATTATAATGTGAAACTTTGGACCAGTCCAGCGTAGGCGCTGGTGGCTCGAGGGCAAGGGCAGCTGTATCATAGGACTTCACAGCAGTCTGAATGGCCTTGCAACGAGTTTGCAAGGACTTAGCAATGTGGGTGCGCATCCGATAACCTTCAGAACAATGGCAATCAGCACAAAAAGTTGTTCATGATGATAGAAATGCTTACCGGTTTGAGAGATATTGAGTTTGTGAAGTTCAAACAGCCGAAGTACCACGAGCCGCTGAAGATTGTCAAGCGCACGATGATATTCACGCTGTGACATATATTTCAGGGTCTCTAGGTATTCAGGATCAGCTGGTTCCCATCGTCGGGTTATACCCATCTTCAGTTCGAGTTCGACAATGTCTTGTAGTATTGTGTCATAGCGTTGTGAGGCTTGTCGGCGTCGCGTCTCAAGTTTTCGAGTCTGGGAGAGGTTCACAGAATAGGGAGAGGGGGTGCTAGTGCTCGTCGGTATAATGAACTCGTAATTCATTGGTGTGGCATTTAGGAACATCGCGGAAGCAGTCTCTGACGTTGCTCTGAAGGTGTCATAAGGTTACGAAAAAAAATAACACGATGTGATATGTACCTCGCTTCCCTGAGTTTCTGAATAAGTTCAACATATGCAATGGCATGAACATCCCACTCGGCCTCCTGACCTGATGTTGCAAGGTACTGCGATTGTTCTGTAGACCATGTCTTGAGATCGTCGTCTGAAATGTCAAGTGAGATTTTAGCTTCCTGGATAGCAGATCCCTGTTCTTCGATAGTCTGACGTGCTTGAACATAGTTTTGATACAACATATTGCCAAGGTTGAGGTACTTGTCTTCATCCCACTGTTTGAAGAAGCAATCAATAGACACACGACGGTTGTATGCTGAGGCGTAACGAGTGACAGAAGCGAGTTGATTGGATGAGCTAAAAATACGCTCCATAGTGGCGAGATCTTCAATTCCCATGCCCTTGATGACGTTTGGGTGGTTCTTGTCTTGGCAGAGATAACTGTGGGTATACCCATGGAATGCATCAACACACATACAATATTCAGCTTCGTTGAACCTCTGCGCCAGCGAGCTAGAGGCGATAGTGATAGCAAGCTTGCAGCCGACATCGTATCCGACCAGAAGACGTGATCCAAGAGTCTCGAGGGCTTTGCCAATGATGGCAAGGGGGTACTTGAAACTAAATACATAGACCATCAGTATTTATGTAGAAAATAGGTAGATTCATCAACATACAGCTCCCCACTGCGAATCATATCACCAATCCAAAGTATCAGACCGTGACAACAAGCACTTGCAAAGATTCCTGTCTCTTCAAATATCCCCCACGACTTCTTCTTCGCATCGGCTGCAGCAGCTTTCCAATTATCTGTGCATGCTGATGCAGCTAGTGACGTGTTCAAAGGTCCAGGGCTCTCCCCAGTGTGCGTTTGAGAAGTGGGGTCGACGTTCTCATCATCTGACGGCAGCGTGTTTGATTGTAATGCAAATGTGTCAATATAGTCACGCTTGAGGTAGTAGTCACTCTTGAATAAACGTGTATCGCCGACTTGGCGACCTCCCAGTGGTGCCATGCGTGACAACGAATTGTTTCCATCAAACACTATCATTCGTCGGAAGATAAGTTCCGGCTCATCCTTCAGCTAAAAATTACGTTAAAATATTCATACCAGTGCCTTGCATTACATACCTCGTATGTGCATGGTGGACATGCATTGAGCACTTGCCAGTTTTCGGAATCACGCCCAAGGGTCTTCAACACCTGAGCATCGATGTTGCGGTGAATTGCAAGGTAAACATCGAAGGCATCAGCAAGCGCCGTACGATACCTCCGGCGATAAGGCCACTAAGTTCAGTGTCAAGTACAATGCTAATGAAAAGTCAAAAGTACATACGTGATAGAGGTCGCAAAGCACCTTGGTGAATGCCTCGACACTGAGTGAAGGTTTGCGCAGGCGCAGGCGCCTGTAAAGCTCAAGTGTTGACAAGGAGATGGCAATGGTTGGAGAATGAGGTGTAGCACCCAAATAACCATTTAAGATTAGGGCTTCTGCAGGGGTTTCAATGGTGGGTGAACTGTGAATATAAGCGCTAGTAGCAAGAGTATATATATTGATAACGTCAATCGAGAAATCATAAGGGCTAGGTTCACTTGGAGGGGGAGGTGATGAATACTTCCATGTGAGGTACCCTGAAGTGAGCGCATTGACCAGTGGCGACCAATTTGCGTGAAGGCGGACGAGACGTTGCCGCCATCCACGGCTATCTTTGTATATGCGCCACCTGCATAAGATTTAAGTATCACAAAATTAAATAAAATAGTACTTACTGGCTACCGACAATGTCTCGCACAGCGAGCATAAAGGTCTCGTTATCTCGGAGGTCGTCTGGAACCGTTTCCCACTGAAAGTCGTGGTCCATAGCATCCATAGCATCAACGATGCCTGCGGTCGTGCTGTCTACAGCTTCATGTTGCATGTCTGCGAGCAGTGTTTGGGATTCGGTACTTAGTCCTATAGCCAGTGTCGTCAATACGAAACATAGCATAGACAGTAAAACATACCTGCAATATTAGCATTGTATCGTTCCTGCCTGTGTCGTCGATCCTCAACCTGCTGGGTCTGTGACAGAACCCTGGACTTGAGCTTCGCGGTAGATCTTGTGGAACCGACAACTAAACGCACAGAGCGAGTGGTTTTAGAGGCAGGCATCGTATGGCGTAGGGAGAAGGAGAAAGCTAAGCCACGCTGCTGCCAGCCATGGCAGCAACAGTGAGCACTGAAGGGGCGTGTTTGATGGCATCTGCCGAGGAAGTCTTAGTCACAGAGTCAGATCAACAAAGTCACGTGCATGTTGGACTCACCGCATAGGACAACGACAAGCACATATCAGCCCTGACTATCGTTTGGAATGTATGCGCGTTGTTAAATAGACCTAGAATAAAAAAAGAAGTAAGAAAAACGGTGAACAAATGAAGGACTTAGCTTTGCTCGTCGTTGACAACAGCGAGCAACAACCATTAGACAGCGAGCGGCAAATATGACATAACACGGGGTTTCCTGAAGGAGGCGCTATGGTCTACTCACGTGAGTTCTGTTCTGGGAAAGGGAATTAGGCCTTTATTCGCAGTGGTACTGGTGGGGTGTGAGAAATAGGAAAACCGATGCTAATTAGCATGGCATAGCCCCCCCCTACGACATCCTTATTAGGTTATATAGTAGTGAGGTTGAGGTGAGCTAGAGTGACATGTCATGACTCATGACCTAGTTAGGTATATAAATGCCGGTAAAGGCGGCGAGGCCGAATTTTGAAAAACTCGCACTGCAATGTCATATGCAACACACTGTAATATGGCAGAATCTGCCATTCTACCAATTGCCACAAGGCCAATTCCTTTCTTCCCCCTACACTATGCATGTATGGCTACCATCCCACTGATGTAACGAGGCCCAAAGGGTGAGTTATAAAGTGAAAGTGATGCAAAGCAAACTGCTCCTACTTACAGCTTTAACGCAGGTCATCTCCTGGAGGCCGCTTGTCAAGCAGCAGTCAGCAGATGTGACGCAAGACTCTCCCTCTGGCTGACACGTGGCGACAAACGTTATAAATGTTGTCAGTACAACAATAACGGTCGGGAAGGTGAAACGCATTGTTTATGCGAAGTGGTATGAACTACTGATGTGCTTCAAAAATCTTTTTGGGGTGAGGTTGACGGTAGGAATATGGCCTGCTCTTATACTCGCAAAGAATGATATTTTCATATTTTAGGCAGAACCTATCCATTCCGGTCACCTCGCGAGAAACTGGAGTAATGGTTCTCGCCTAGTACTGCCCAGCAAAACTGTCACGGCGTCGTATGTTCAAACCTTTATTTGAAAGTAGGGCCCACGATAACGTAGTCCCACAGCTACTCTCATGTCAATGAACAGACTTTGCTTCAATCCATTTACTTCTGGAGCTGGAAAACATAACTATGTGTCTACTTCGCTTGTTTGCTTGTAGCGCAGACCTGCTGTCGAAGTACATGTGCGAGGTCACGGCCTGCGCTATTTAGCGCTTCTAGCTTAAGTGTTTACCCTCAAGCTGGTCTAGCGATACGATGGCAGCCCTAAGGTACCGTACAGATCTTGATGCTTGTGTTCCTGATGTGGGCAAGCGGCATTCCGATCCAACCAGTGTGTTGATTCCATAGGATTGTCAAAAAGCCTCAATTGACCAAAATACCAGAATTCTCGAAAGTCTGGCGAGTCCACCCACTGACTCTCACTGGGTAGACATCGTTGTTGTACCACGTTGTATGAAGGTCGAGCAAAGGCGGCCCAAATTGAGACAAACCAGGCTCCACAAAGCCTCCAAGTGTTTTAAAGCTCCTGTAAGATGTTAGAGGTTTATCCAAGTGCAGGTAAGTCTTTTCGATGACAAAATATCCTTGTTTACATGCGCTGCTCTCGTCTGCAAGGCATTTATCCCCTTCAAAAACTGCCAGCTCCTGAGCATGACGAGGTCAAGGACACCACGTGTGCATTGTTAACAGGCTTTTCATCAGGCAACATTGGAGAGGTGTCGTCCTGTCCTCGTTAAGAAGTCTATCATCAGCAACTTGATCAATTTTCTCATTAGACACCACCCTTGATAGACGCATGATTCAGTCCAAGCAACTTGTCTGATTTGTCGATTCTGATCGTGACTGTGGTCGATGAACATGCTTCGCAGGCTCGATGTATTTGTGAGATCTCTACACGGGAGTGCCAGCTACAGATTAGTGAGACGCAATGAGATCAGGGCCTAAATGCACGAATAATGCACACCAATTGCCTCCCGGGCATTGAAGAGGAAGAGTAGCACAGAATAAGTGGGTTTCAGTGAGCTCGATTTGTGGCAGAAAGACTCGATGTCCTGCTGTCATCGCATTTGACCTGTATGATATCATTTTCAACATCAATTCCGGATTCTTTGGAACATGTAAAGGTTATTATGCCATGGCAGTGAAAGCTCAAGGCCGCAGCACTGTACACTGCCACATGTTGGTATATATACTTTTTTTTTCAGTTTACGAGGCTCCAGGCCCTAGTAAGAACACGCGTGGTCCACCTCATCGATACAGGACGGAGTCAGGCACGGTCACAATCGACACAACCAGCACGATCACAATCAGCCAAACAAGACCCGGGCCGAACACGCACAATGGTAATCAGCACGCACACCAAGCTACTCCTCCATAATCAACCTCAGCGCCTCTTCGCTCCTAGGACGTATATCGCACACGAACGGGCTTGGGATTCTGTAGGAAGACGAAAACGATTAGCGCTTGTTTGGTGGATGTTGGAACGAGGTGTGAAGGAGGTGGAAGGAAGGAGGGAGAAAAAGGAATTGAAAGGTAAGAAGGGTAGTATAGCGAAAACGTATGGTCCATAATATATATACGAAAGCACAAAAACCGCATCCTCAAATCGTGGCAACTCAAAGCACAGGCGTGCACACGCAATGAACCAAATTCTCCTACTCGCAAGGCAATAAGAAACCTACCCCGCGCCCAAAATGAAGACGAGAACGAAAAACGAACAACCCACCTGAAAACAGCATTTTCAAACTTGACAACAGGCTCGATCTCCACTCCCCTCTCATCCCTCGCTTTGCGTATATCGAGCGTGGCGAGCATGCTGGTTATTAAGAGCCATATCGAAGACTCGACGAGATGGGTTCCTGGGCAGCGGCTGTTATGTGATTTCGATCAGTTTTGGTTTGGAGGTGGATGGGACGATAGGAAGTGAGGAAACGGAGGGAACGAGATGATGACGAGATGCCAAGATGATAACATGCCAAGAAACCCCAAACACGGAACACCACGTCACACCTCAAAAATTTACTCACCGCCTTCCAAATCCAAAAACAAACGCTCTCGGATCTCTTTCCTTCCCAGCCTCCTCCTCTCCGCCCCCAACCACATTCACATCTACATCCATTTCCTTCCCCATCTCACCCATGACCCCATCCGCCAACCACCTCTCAGGCTCAAACACCTCCGGATCTTGATACAACGCAGGATCACGCATGATGGCCCATATATTCCCGAATACGAGAGATCCTTGTGGGATGTGCATGCCTTCGTAGGTGTCGGTTTGTGTTAGTCTGTGTGGGAGGCCTGGCGTGCGTGCGTGACGTTATGGGTAGGTGATGTGATGCGACGGATGGATAGGACGAAGGCGATAGGGGAGTAGAGAGGCGAAAGAAAATGCTAATCAGCCATAAATACACCCAACATGATACGGAGTACTCACTAAGCGGGACAGGCACACCCCATCTAAGCGTCTCCGTGAAGACCGCATCGCAGTACGGAAGTTTTGCGCGATCTTCGAATGTTGGTAACCTTTTTGCTACTGATTGGCTCGATCTCGCACCATCTCCCCTCGATCCAAGGACTTCATCGAGCTCTGCTTGGGCGCGTCGGAGTACATGGGGGTGCTGAACCATAGCGAGGATGAAATGGGAGAGAGTTGTGATAGTTGTATCGATGCTGGCTTTTTGGCGTGGTATTCCGGGTGAGTGGGTTTTCCATGTGAGTGGTGTCGTGTTCAGTGGTGAGATTATAGAGTGGTGAAGGTCAGTATGACGTGAACGTGAATGTGCAACATGGGGGACGGGACGGACGTACCCGAATACATGGAATTAGCTGTCCATCGGATCTCATGATCGTGGTCGTATGTAATGGTGTCTTTGGCTGCGTTTGTATTGTCGGATGAAAAGGAAGAGTCGCAGTCGCTTGGGCATGTCTCGTCATCGGTGGGGATGGTGGACTCGAAGAATGCATCCAAGGAAGAAGAGAGTTTGGGAGGTTCGAGGAGGGTGGATACGAAAGAGGGATTGGCGGTTCCTTTTCTCTGTATGGATGTTAGTTTGTGAAAGGGAAAGAAGGAAGGGCATACGATTTCGTTTTTCACGAATTCGTATGGACGGTCTACGAATTCTTCCATTTTTGCTTTCCATATTTGGGCGTTACGCTTGAAGGATGCGCCGGGGAACCACATAGGGAGGTGTTTGACTAGGATGGGAAAGGTGAGTTTAAAAAAGAAAAGAGAAAGGGAGACTGACGGGCTGGAAAGATATCAACGGGCCATATCCCACCTCCGCTTGCGATGTGGTTCGCGAGGATGTCCACGCATTCTTCTGCGAGGCTTAGGAAGGGGTCGTCGTTTGATTTTACTTGGTGGCCGTATACGACGAGGAGGGTGAGTCCGCCTGCGTATCTGGTGTATATGAGACTATGTCGTTGACAGAAAAGGAGACGAACCTTCTGATGTGCTCTTGAAACTGAAGGGGACTACTAACCAACCTAGACAAAAAAGGTCTGCTCTCCATCTCCATCAAGCCGTGATACCTGGGAATTACAGCAGGCCCAAAAGCTTTTTGCATAAGCTTCCTCTGTCTCCTCGCACGGTCGCCATAAGGAGTGAAGGCTGCCATGTTCTTGCAGCCACAGAGCTCACCAGCCATGATGAGGTGCGGTTTATCGCTATAGATTGACCCGCGTTTATCTAAAAGGTCGAATACTGCTTTTGGGGTGTTGAGGAATACGAGGGATTGGTTGAATATGCGGATGTGTGTTACGGGTCCGTATGTGCGTGCCCATTTGAATGCGGTGAGCCAAAGTTCTTTTAAAGTGATGTCGAGGATATTTCCTATAATTGGGAGAGGACTTGGACCTGGGGGGAAGTGGGGACGAGTGAGGCGGGAATATGCGAAGAATACGATGGCTAAGAGGAATAGAGTGCTTGTCAACGCCATTGACTGATTTTTGTTCGATCCAAGGCAACTTATATCATGGATTATCACGTGCAGAGGCTTCGAACTTGGTTTTGAGGTGCGTCGTTTTGGAAGAGCGTTCTACTTCCTGAGTACTGAGCCACGGATAGACAATGTCGGCCTCGTTTCTGAAGCGATCCGATTTCTATGAGGATCCTCTTCCATGGATAGCTATCGACTGGTACAGCTGCATTCATAGCTTGTCGTCTAATCCCGTATGCAAGCGATCGGTTACCTCCTGATCCTCCTTGATGTTTGTCCGCGTTTGGTTCGTTCATTGCTCTTCACTATATAAACCCGCATTGACGTATCTAGGCTTTCCCTTTCAATCCATCCGTTGGTACAGGCGTCCTTCCATGTGGGACTGATTGACTCTCGGATCACAGCCTTATCTGTGAGTTTTCAGTGATGTATACCTTGCCTGTCCTAGCGAACTCGATTTATAACAGCCTACTCTCTAGTCTTGACGTTCATTCGTTCATCCGCTGTCATACGATATCTATCCGAATTCGTGCGGTATTTACTGGTGCAAAGAACTTGAACGAAGCGACCTGCCACGTCTCTTCTGAGAATAGTTTCCGCGCGAAGTTGATCGATTTCATTACTTCGTGCATAAACTATATTTCAAAACTGCTGTCTCTTCCTTACTTGACCTGACCAGCGATAATATTTCTTATTCAGTGTTTCGCAGGAACACTGCCACGTATATATCCATGCCCTGCATCGGCCTCAACATCAATGTTGTCCGTTAGAGCGGTACCCCATATGGTGGCATAATACCCAGTTCATGGATGGCTGATGACACCGACGACGATATTCGGGACCGGTTACCATTTTGATGATTTGTCTACTCATCCTAAACGCCAGATTCGTCTCGCACTCTTTACTTCCCTTCAAGAACCGAGTAGCGTGCTGCGTCCGGACGATTGCAACAGTCGTTGGGACATTCTCACTCTTCGTTCTTGACATGGTACATCAGCTTGTGTCATCTCTCGTTCAAAATGAACTAGCTTTCTGGTCTTGATATGCAGTACGACTATCGTGCGGTGTCTTGCATTCGTGACATTTTGGTTCCCTCTACAACTCATGGCAATCAGTTGGCGTTGCTCGATGCCTTGTACCCATTACAGTTTCGTGAGTTCGTCCACTGTTTGTCGATCACTTAATTGATCATGCAGATCCCTCGCTTGAAAATGCCCATCCACACACCATTTGGACCACACACTTTGTGCACAATCTGACATCCGCATGGCCACTATTGCATGGAGAATAAATATGATGGAAGCGAAGCATCGTATGTCTCTTCTCTGTCGTCTTTCCAGCGATAATTCTTTGTATTTAGTATTTCAAGCCGTCATCTATCCGGTCACGCATATGTTTATTACCCTGTACTCATCGACGGAGTGCATGTCATAAAGACTTGTTGGGTGGCTTGGTGCGTCCAGTAGTAGTACTGTGATGTGATTGGTGATGAGGGACAGGGAACAACTTGAATGATAAGGGATAAACTCACATGTGTACTATTCAATGTTTCAAAACTCATCAAGGTCAAATTCATGCCGAATCTCACCTTGGTGTGTTTTGGAGCACTGACTGAGTTGGCTCGAGCGTGGGCATATTCCTCGATAATAATTCAAAATTTGAAAGTGAGTGTTGTGGCTTTCAAAATATTTATTGTTTACAGGGAGATCTAGCTAGCACGCGGTGGCGCATGCCAACTTCCCATCAGGGCAGCTTTTTTTGACAGACTTGTCAACACGTTCATCTTCGGTGGAGAATATGCCTTTTTCATATCTTCCCTACGCATGCGTGTCCGAGTCCCCCTTCGAGCCGTCATTCAACTATACTGCCGAGGTGAGTAGATTGGGATGGCATTCACATGCAATCATTTTCCATCTCTCAATGGCGCAGTGCATCCAGACGTTGTCGCGGCCACATTTTGATGGAACTGTTCACTGTTCATTCGTATCCACAGCGAAAAGTAAGAGGGTCATCGTAGAATTGAGGGCATATCGACTGTTCATTCCGCTCTCTTTTTTATCGGTGCAGCTGCATGTATCAATTCATGCATGATAGGCCAGGTTCATGCAGGGCTTCGAACACACGTACTATCCAACATAGGGGATATTAGACAACGATTGCAAAAAAAATGCTTCCATAAGCGCTGTGCCCTGCTTTCCATATGGCTAGACAGTGATCAAACTATCTGAGTACGTCTCGTGTCTCATTGCCAGACTTACCGCATTGGACATGTACCACGCATGACATCGCATATTTAGATTCCCTGCGCCGTCAGCAGCCTTGAGGCATGCACCTGTGCATGAGCGCTAGCGTCGCATGATTTAATACATGTGGCAAGCCTTTAAAACAGATCAGAATGAACGGACACTATTATCCCGAATACACTTAGTGATGTCAGCGACTCTGCATGCATTCTGCAACACCAGGACCTATGGTAGCTTTGCCAGAGTATCGACTTTAAGCAAGGTTATGTGGAGGGTTGAACGTAACCGGCGATGAGCTGGACAATGAACCACGTAAGCTGAAGCATGGTGATAACGGTTGATAGTCCAGCACCTGGACCTTTAATTCGTTCTTCTACCTTTTGCCTCGCATAACAGGCATGTCCACGAATATGTTATGAACAAACTGTCGAAGTACATGGATAGTATGAGTGGCCCGTGGCTTGCCATTGAAATAGAGCATGAATCCACCCATTCGTTCGAAGAACCCACGGGTCATTGTCCTATGAACGTGTCAGTTGCATGTTAGTCGCCGCGCACGGGGTTTGGTTGAATACCCATATTTGTGTTATCGGTCCGTACATGCGTGCAGTGAGTCAAAGTTCTTTTCGAGTGAAATCGAGGATGTGACTTATGATGGAGAGGGGTTTTGGTTTGGAATTAGGCCTGGGGGAGGGCCAAGAGGAGTACAGAGCACCTGTCAAGGTTAACGCTATTGACCGACGTTCGACCTAAGGCGTGCGTTATTGCGTGGAACTTGGTTTATGCGTCGTTTTGGAAGCGCGTTTGACAGAGCACTACACGCAGGCAACATCGTCCTCGTTATCGAAGTAATCCACCGTATGACTATTCTGTTTTTGGTTTTTCCAGTGCTGATTTGAAGCTAAATTATCGCCCTGCGCTGGTCGGAGCATATCCCATAATGACTCGAGTGAATTATTGCGTTAGATTGGTAGAATCGATGCAGTGACGTCTATTCTTCCCTTAAGTGGGATCCCGTCCTTGAACAAAATTTGTCCAATTCCCTCAGTCTCCGAACGTTTACCGGTGTAGAGAATGAAGCGAACCACTCAGTACAAAATAATGTTGCCTCAAGAATATCAAAAGTGAATTCCGAAGACTCACAATATGTAAATGAAAGTGCCCTCTCGAAAGACAAAAACGATAGGAGAAGTCCCCACATCCTCAAATTGCCTCTGCCTCGTAGTGGAGTTCGATGCGATGCACCAAGACCATAACCCAAATTCAACAAATAACACGCCTCGAAACCACTGTACGTATATGTAAGGCTGCTAGTGGGTCCAGCAGGGGACTGTGAATGATGGGTCGAGACTGCGTCTGGTAGGAGAAACGCAGAAGAGTGATACTAGGGAAAGGTACAACGAAACTTCTCATCAAAAGTCTTCTTTGGAGCGGAAGTCAGATAATCCGATTTCACTACTGTCTAGAGAGTACATGGGCTGTATATGTGTGCGAAACAGTCAAGGGTCCTCGGTTATAGCTTTAACCGAACGATTAGGTGAAACGGAGGCAGAGAGTAAGTGGCGTTGAACCTGATAGGGTGAACTAGTGCAAGCAAAAGAGGGAGTACGAGAGACTGAACGAGTGGCGGTATGAAAGAGTTCGGTTTAGATAGAATGACGAGAAGTTCGTAGTGGTTTTTGACATATTTCGGAAACGACGAGCTGAAAACGGATTGATAGTAATGAGAGAGAGAATTGAGGGTAAAGGGTACATTGTTAAAGGGACTGAGGCCGTGCTGGTTGTCGACGATAGTGAGATAATGAGAAAGGGATGTGTCCGCGTGACTCGGGTGCGAAGCGTGCGCGTGATGCTTCTTCGCATCAATGAGTCACGTAGATGGTCGGCACTAGGTCCGTGCGTAGAGTCTATGCGATCCTTACATACATGATGTCCAGCATAGGACTCCGTCTGAACAACGTGTGGTATGTAAGTGGAAGTTCTGGAATGGCGACCTTGGGTGCGAACTTGACCTACTTGCACTTCCGATTTCAGTACCCGCCATCGACGAAGACCCAAGCAAGTTATCATACCCTGCTACAACGATGTAATGAAACTATACACCTACATGTGGAATAACCTTGGGCCAAGTTACTATATCGTATACACCATGAGGTAGCGATCGTAAGCTTAGCATAATAAGTGTAATTATTGTAATACGTGCAAGAACGTATATCATGCCGAGAATTCCAATAATCTTCATAAAATGAGCGGAAAGAAAATATAAGAATTTGCCCGATAATCCTTTGTACTCCGATGGCTGCACGTCCAAATACCAGAGGGTCCACATCGTTAACGATAAACATGCCTTCCCAACGAAAGCCACACGCCACAATACCAGCTCGGCGTGGCTCGGAAACGAAAAATTCCAGCCCAGGGCATGTATCGCTGCAAACAGCACCCCGCTGACACCTCCAACGAGGAATGTAGTCATACTCTGAGCCGAGGTACTAGACCGCCGAATTTTGTGATTAGATAGTAGACACAGGAGCATTGGAATATGTCCTTTGCTAGAATACAAGCCAATTAGAACAAGTTCTGCAAGGAATAGAGATTATAACGTACTCGTTGGCTAAGCAGTCGTGTGGTGGAGGAACATTCGAGTTCCAATGAACAATATGGGGACGTCGTACGTCCTTCGGCTTCCGCAGCCATAGTAAACCATAAGTATCTATGGTCAGACAAACTACAGCCAGAGTGTCGATTTCAAGTAATGTGCTGGGGAGGTGTTGTGTGTAACGGGCGATGATCTGGATGAGGAACCACGCCAGCTGAAGAATGGTGACACATCTGGATAGTATATCACCCTTGCTTCGGTCTTCTATGTCTGCCCTCGTGATGATAGGCATCTGCACAGATCCCGCGCGAACAAACCGGAGGAGTTCATCGGGTGTGAGAGTGGCCCATGGTTTATTATTGACGTAGAGCACGAATCCACCCATCCCGGCGAAGAACCCGTGCGTCTCTGTCCACCCTGTCAAGCCATCAGTTTTACGTTGATTTCGGTCTGACTGAGGAGTCTGAGTAACAGACCTGCATTTGACCCCTCGCTTGAATTTGAGATGTTATCAGGTAACACGACTGCCGAGCTGCTCTGCTGCACGGCTTCACGGTCGCTGTGGAGCTGAGCGCGTTGCGCACCCAAGACATCATTGAAGTCCTTGGCAACCTGACGAGCACACATGAGTTGCCATGCGGCCCAAGCGGCCATGAGTTCGGGGGCGAAATACGCAATGAACATAAGGAGTAGACGACGAATGACAATAACAAGTGCCCCATCACCCATACGCGGAATGTCCGGAGGGACGGCAGTCCATGTGCACGCAAACAAAGTTAAGCCACAGCTCGACATAATCATCCACAAGGTTCTAGCATCGCGGGGTTGCCAGTTGTTGTAAACGAATGGATGGATACATGTATCGTTGAGACCTGAGAGTAGAACTACTGAAGCACGAACAAACGGAACGCCGAAGAGGACAGCGCAAAGTGAGAGGATCATCATAAACTTGGAGTCGAGGCCATAGCATGATCGTCTGATCAAATATTCTTCTCCCTTTTGATGGGCGCAGCCGCGCGTGTATCAATCTATCCATAATGGATCGTGTTCGCGCGCTTACCCTCAAACTTCAAGCTCAAGGGCCAGTGATGGCATAGGCGCCTCGAGGTCATCATCTGAGCCACCAGCTCGGCGCAGAGAATGTGGATATGCGGTGTTGTGGAGCATGTCCAATGCAGTAAGCCTGGCGATGAGACGGGAGTTTACAATCTTGCCTCGCATGATAGGCATGTCCACGAATACTAAGTCGCTCGAACAAAGTGCCGAATTTAATGTTCATGATCCGGGCTCAAGCGCTCAGGATTGAGAGACAAAGTTTCGGCTGCACTGGCGCGCAGTGCTAGTCCAGGCTCCTCGGGGTCTTTATACGCTAGAACTCGCCGCTTGTGGTATTTTGTACATTACGATACCTGGCACGATATATCGGCTTCATTCTGGACCCTGCAAACTGTATTGGAGAGAGGTAACAGACTAACCTGAGTCAGATTTTAAGTTATTCGGTTTCTCCGAACCCTGCACAAACAAAAAAAGTCCGAACATCTCAGAAGTAGTGCTGTCCACATTACAGGTTATATTTTAATATAATATTATTATTCATCATTATCTTGATTATAATACGGGCTCGCGGAGGGGCTCTGCATACACCGTACAATCCAGTACATTACATTATTGTATGATTACATTATAGTATGACCTGTGTATTTAATCATAATCTTTAAACTTTGAATGGAGCAATCAGATTGACGTGGATAAGGTGAAAACTGTACAGCTGGAGCAGTAGTAGTTCCCACGCTCCACCGTGGTCAGCGCTCAGCGCAGAATTTAATATCTTTGCACTTCTTGTTATCAGGGCAGCACAACTTCATGGCGCAATTGGGCGAGCAGCAAAAACAGCTTGCCCAATCACTTGCTGATCTTCATTCTGTTATAGCCGAACTCCCTGGTTCATTGCCAGAAGCAGCCGAGCAGCAAACATACACTCTCCGATAGCCGGTCGTCTCTGAGCGCAGAGTCTGCGTCGATCACTATTATCGCGAAGGAATGGTTAAAACGTGATTTTGGGAATGGTGTAAATTTTCTCGAGGGCATGAACATGCATTAAATACAATTAAATATGGTTACATTACCATTACATTTCAATACAATACCTATATGATTAAATACTCTTGCTCGCTGGCCCGTAATATTATGAATACATTATATTATCGTAGCGGCGCTGGAAAGCGCCAGTCCCCGACTCCAAGAAACAACGATGTATAATGACAGCAAACAGTAATCAATATATGACATTCGAGACGTAGAACTATCAGGCTATTCGCAGGTCAAAGGTAGCACTGTTGTCTATTCCAGTCTACTCCTCATCAGTCCCCAGATCCATGTCGAATAAGTCACGACCCTTCGATGGCATCTTCAAGGTCTTAGTAGGTGACTGGCCTGCAAGTTATGAAACTCGGCAGCAAGCAGAGTGCCCCGCGTTGTTGCACAGCCAGGTGGGACGGGAACTGTGGAGAGACTCCCGAAGAGGATGTCATCCGACATGCTCAAAAATTTCGTGCGTCTAGTGGATGAGAAGTGATTGCGTTAATGCTACACTCCTTGTTTCGCACATCCGATTTTTTACTCACAACATGAAGCGCGGATTTTCGCAGTACAGGCGCAGACAAAGCAGATAAATTTTCTGCATAGCAAGCATCCGGGTAAGAAAAACCATCGAGGATCGTCTTTTAGCCTGGACGTAATACACGAGGCAGCAGTTGGGAGGGAAGTGCCTTGCCAAGCAGCAGCTCGATAAGTCTTAGAGTGCTTGAACACGCTACAATGCACGTACGTAGCAGACTCAAAATGTGCACGAGTGAAAGTCATCGAGACGTCATCCACGCGGATAGAGAGACCTACCCGATCAAAAACCACAGCAACGGAGTGACGAAAGGGACCACATACGAGACACAAACTGTCACAGTGGGAGACGAGTGATAGTTGCAACCAACGAGAAAAATTTTCGGCTGTTGCATACACAGATTCGTTATATTGCGGGTAGTATAAAGCATCGTAGAACAGAGAATATTTTTGTATATCATGAAGAACATTATGAGGTGGACAGTCCTTAGCATCGAGAACACGAAGACATGTACTTGGGTGTTTCAAGAGAAACATGGACATGGTAAAATATAACTGAATACGAAGGTGGTCAATTCACTTATAACAAGCACACGGAGAGCAAAGAAAAGACGTACGCAAATTTCTTCCTGTAAAGACGAGTCAGACAATCAAACGACCTGAGTGAACCGAATCGCGCACGCATCGATATCCATTAGTCATCATCAACTATACAGTTTTAACCAAAACATTCCCATCCCACGTATTGTGTTCCCACGCATCAGCGTATAGGTGCCTGTATGTTTAGATTCGACAAAACCCTCTTCCCACTAACGTGGGAGTCGGGGATGCTCCTCAGAGTATTATAATCATAATTGGACAGCACTACTCAGAAGACCCCGGATTTGACTACTCGACGGTCACCGGTAAATTACCAAAACAACAACTAAATCGAGTCTAATACAAGTCTAATGTGGTGTGACATAAATATTGTATTTGCACAGCTATCCACGCTCATGGCATTGGCATATCTAAGTTGTGGCACCCAATGAACTTATGCCAAGTGAGATCCTGAAATTATCTGATACTGTTGTGACGTGCCACCGAGAAAAATTGACGCGGCAGTACGCAATACCGTGACGAGTGAGTTTGAGTTTGATGCAGCCTCAACACAGAATGGATGGTCCCATGCGGCATAGGTAGGCCTGAAAATTGACACAAATCAGGGAATCGTAATTTGCTACGAAGCTTTGCTTTGTAGACCCTGTAACACTCTGTAGCACGATACTTCCCGGTGCCAGCGCCACGGAGGCATGGGGGGTGGGGGGTTGGGCGGACGCGATGCGGACACGCACCGTCCTCATAATGCATACATAACGTTTGGCCTGATTTGTGAAATCAAAATCAATGTCCACTAGGCATCAGTAAAATATCATGTTCCGTCATTTAATTTTATCGGAACTTGTTCCACTTGGTTTGATGCGGACCGCACAGAATTTTGCGACGTGTCACTGTAAAGTTGGTTCAGGGCCCGAAGTACCAAGTACTTCATAGGGGGTAAAATCGATAAAGTCCCAGTGTTTCGAGCAATGATGTTGTATGACCCTATGGCTAAGGGAAGCGTTCGGTCGAGCTCGAAGTGCCGAATAGAAAAGGAGGCAGTACGAAAGACAGCAGGACCCATGTGCCAGTGGTGCGCACTCCTGTTCTTCCAGCTCCCTACATAAGTAAATGAGTGAAGCAAAATATGATCATGAATACATTCATTCACGTAGAGTAGCCTGTAAATTTACGTCACCGCGCGCCTTGCGACCGCGGAGAAAAGTTAGCACTAGCCCAGCTCATCGCAAATAATCGCAGATAGGTTCTGGCTAAACTCTCGTCGTAGGTCAGGCGCAACCATTCTGAGAAAGTGAATCCTGCCATAACATTATTTTTCGCGATAGCATAAAAACGACTCGTCTTCCTCCAGTGATTATTCAAGCTCCGCAGAAGATCATAACACTTCAAAGTTCAAACAAACAATGAATTTCTCCTTCCTTGCCGTTATTATTGTTGCGTTGAAAACGTCTCTGTCTGTCAGTGCATGTAGCGCACATGGCGGCCCTT